AAAGTTTAGGCGGTTATGTGAAATTAACCCATTAAATAAAGTAGTTACTCCTAAATTTCATTATCTGTTGAGAATTAATGTAGAAAGAATACAGTTATTTTTGAAATTTTAGAAAGTTTGTTGGTTCAAAGTGCAATCTTTCTTCTCGTTTATGTTCAATAGTTTTAACCTGTGAAATGCATGGGAACTAGCGATAAATGACTGGATGATTGTCGGTTTGGGAAAAGAGGAGGTGAGCGAAGGCAAAGTGGAAATATGGGTGAGACAATTGTTGAGTTTTGATAGGATGGATATAGAGATAATGATACATGGCACATGAAAGCTGAAGATAGAGTTTAATAGCAAAAAAATATGGATACTATTGTCAAAAACATAAAGACTTAAAAACATCTGTTGTTTGTTGCGTTCTTGTAACAAGCAGCGACTGTTTTAGTATTAGTAAAAGGTTGCATGATGGAGTGTTTTTACTTGAGAAAAATTTTAATGGAATATTACAATCTTGGTATAGATTAATCGGCAGATTAAACAAAATTGTACAAGGTGTCACAAAATGCTTTGCATTTGCTTTCATAACTACCTCCTCATCAAGAACCATCCTCAAGAATAAAAACCGGTTGGATGCCTGATCCAAGAGGTGGAGGAAGACCTAATAGAGCAACTTCCACCTATCTCTTGACGCTTTGACTAGTGTGATCGTCTATCTTCAGAATGCTCCTCTGTGCAGCATAATTCTTGCATAATCCTTGTATAAAGTCTGCTTATTGAAGAGGATGGCTGTTTTGTGGAAGTCAAAGAAACACAGAGAGATAAAGCTAGCTCGGCCTCAAGTTGAATTGCATAGTGGAATTGGAATATACAAACTTCTTTAACCGGAGAGGAAATTTGAAGTACCAGCTAAGTTTTTACATGTGTTCTTTTTGCTGTTATGGTATAGGTCACATCATGACAAGTAGCAGAAGATGCAAAATGATTGTCAGATTCTGGAAGTTTCATACATATAGCAACTGAGTTCGAATCTTCACCATTCAATTGACAAGTATCTCATGATTTGCCAAACAAGTTTGGTGAAGGAAGCACCCGATAATGACTTTGGTTGCCTCATCTTCTTATTCTCTTCTGCTGTAGCTTGTAAAATGGCTAAGTTGGAATAAGTTGCTTTTTCAATGATCCATAATGTTAAAATTGATTTTCTTTTCCAATGATATTTGCAAGCTATGACAATATCACAGTTTACTATAGAATTCTGTTCATTTAAGTTTTGCAGAAGTTTCTTTTTTTTCCCTAAAAATCAATGGAAACAAGTAACGTGATAGCATCTAAGTTTTTGCAGCTTAGTGCATAAATTTGATACCTCTAGTTTTCCGAATATTGTCCTTACCAAGTATATATAAAATATAATGGTTGATATTGAAATCCTTTTTCTTTTTATATTCATGATAACATTGTTCTCTATTTACACTCTGTTGAGTCTGCTAGTTCCTTATGTTGTGCAAGTCTATATCATTTCTGATCGGCTCATATTGGACATGATAGGTAATACACGGGTTGTAAACCAGAAAGAGCTTCAGTTCTTCCGAGAGGAACTGCAGAAGAAACTCTCTAGTAACTACAGTGTCATTTTAAGAGAGAGAAAACTTCCCCTTTCTCTTCTAAATGATCATCTGGAGGTAGGAGCTTTGTTTGTTTTATCTCTTTTTGTTGAATTCTTTGTTGATGCTAACATAATTTTAATACAGTATTGTCCTACAGTTTATTTTGGTTGTCCTCATCTTACTTAGCATCCTATGATAACATTGCTGACTGTTAGTAATTTCTAATTCGAGAATCTCTATCCTACTTTCTCATAGCCTGCTTTTTTGGGGTTTTCTTTTTGCGGGGGGGGGGGGGGGTGGATGAGGGGGGGTCTTCTTTCACTTTTTATGATTAAGTCGTTTTCTCTTACTCGCTTGTCTTCATTGTGCTATTGCTGATGCTGTTTTGGTGTGAATCGTGTGATATTTGGGCCGGGTGTGATTTTAGAGATTTAGTGTGGTTCAAGAGCACCATTTTATGAAAGAAAGGATCATATAGTCAATGAGAGATATAGAAAATAAACCAATTGATTGTAGGTAGAATATCCTATACTGAGCTATGTAGTTGTTCTTGAGTTTAATGTGGTATCGCCCATCCTTGAGGCTAAGTTGTCTTATTGGGAAGAAACAGAGTACACAAGAAAGTTGGTTGATGTTATCCACGGGAGGTAGCTTTATCCCTGCGAGGATGAACATGGTGCCAAAAATAGAGGTCTTGATCTAAGTATCTTCAACATTAGCATAACTTATGCGCAGTTTGGAGTTTTATTCTGTTAGTAATCTGGAACTAGAGAACAGCTGGAAATTGAAACTTCTGTATCTCTGATTGTTGAAACAATTTAAACCCATTTACCCTATTTTTAAGAATAAAGAAAGATGAAAAATATCTTACCCATTTAGGTAAACGGGTGGGGTGATAGTTAATATTTACTTATCCTACTTTTTTTACCTGCTTACATTCTAAAATACTATAAACTGAAGTTATATTATTAATAGTGTACAGTATGATATCTCATAAGTTACATAATACTTTATTGAAGAACAGATAAACAAGTGAGGAACTTGAAATACTTGATTAGCATTAGCTTGTGTATTGGTGTATGATGCTCTCTAGCTAATCTTAACAAACAGTTCGTTTAGGAAAGAAATAGTGGTGTTTTGTTTATTTCTTTTTTAGTAGTTCAATAGGTCTGCATGTTTGTTTTCTTTCTCTTTAATTTTACTCATATCACCATAGAGCGAAAAAGACTTTAATTTTCTTATTCTATAAACTTTGACAATCTGGGGTCCGCTTGCAAGCTTAAGATAGGCTTTCATTTTCTTATTCTCTACAATTCTTGTTCTATTTTACAATGACAGTCGACTTTAACAAACTCCAACTGTTCTCTGCTGCATATCTTCTTTTAGGTGGATGTGTAAGTTCAAAAAGTGTCTTTTTTGTTTATTTGACAGAAAGCAAAAGTACATCTTCTAGGTAACGAGCCTTTCCAAGATGCATTTGGACCGAAGATGAAAAGGAAGCGTCCAAAACTTCTGGCATGTCATTATGAGTCGTTAATTAAGAAAGCTGATGGTTCTCAGGGTGTGTAATGAATTTAATTTCAAGACTTCTAGTTGCTTTGATGCATTGTTGATTATGAAACAAAAAATGCTGTCAGGTTCTTAGAAATTATTTTGCAGTTCAGTGGAAAAGAATACTTTATGCAGTTGAATTTATTAATTACTTCTACTAGATGCCTTTGAGGAAACACTTTCTACCAAGCCTTCTGGAGATGGAAATGAAGAATATGGCTTTAGAGATTTGGCAAGGCATACTATGTTCGGTAAGGGGCAGAGCAGGCGTATTTGGGGTGAACTTTTCAAAGTTGTGGACTCTTCTGATGTAGTTGTCCAGGTAAGTTATGATTTCTTTTTATGTCTGTTGTACATAAGTAATGACACTATTTGTGGGGCTACAAGTCTTCAGTTATTTACTTTGTTCACTTGCCAATTCATCTAAACCTGTAGTGCAGCCTTTCAGGAGAATGGATATGGAATGTTCCTAATGCATAGTTGTTTAAAATCAAACTTATTTATTTGTCTCAGCGAGCACGTATCCTAATCTGAGCAGCGTTAGGATGAGCAGTTTTACGATCAATCCACTGAACGTTGCTTTTATCTCCATCATCATGAGGCCTTTATATTAATATTCTCTGTTATATTTACCCATTTAAGCTAATGAGATTCCAGGTGTCAGTTGATGCCCTTATGGGATTCGACATAAATAACCTTGAATCACATTGCTTGTGTGGGCTAATTTAATCTGCTCAAATTGGATCAATTCAGTGGGTTGCATCTTTTCTCTCTTTTTCTCCCTTCTGTATCACAGTAAGAACTGTGATACAGCCTTTTTTTAAGGGATGAGCCTTGGCTCAACAATAAGGTTGCCGTATTGTGACTTGGAGGTCACAGGTTCAAATCGCTGAACCATCCTCTCAGCATATTCCGGGATAAGGCTGTGTATATCTGATCCTCCCCAGAGCCCACAATGGTGGGAGCCACGTGCACTGGGCCACCCTTTATCATAGTTAGAAAGAACTGTGTCATTTATGTTCTAAGATATGTGGATTATGATAAATGGTGCCAACCAATGGACTGTTACAGAATCAATAATACATAAGCTGCATCTAAGAAGCCGTTCCAGTAGGCGCATTACACATGGGGCCATTCCTTTAAACTGCCTTGTTGGTCTTACAGGTCCAATTTGTCATACACCTACTGACACAGCTATACACATGCCATGTGAGTGGGTAAAGTACTTCTTGTATGGGATTTAAGTTCAAATCTTATAATAATGAAAATTACTTTAAGCTGTCCAAATTCAGAGATAGTCACACATGGTTGTAAAAATCTTCAGCTTTACTTTCATTCTACTTACCTGTATTAGTCTAACATGGTATATTTAGATCTTCATGCACCAGCATATATCCTAGACCCTATCTAGTATAGCTCTCTTCCTGTGAGATAGGGGAGTTGGAATGCAGATATGTGTTAAAATTTTGGATAAAAAAGATGTGAGATTTATTTATCAAACATATATTTAAAAACTTGATATTTTTCATGTGTATTATAATACATCATAAGCAGATGCGTGAATGTGATTCAAAGTACCTCTAAAATTAAAAGAAATTGTTTGTCTTCTTTCAAATTAAATGTAATGTGTCTTAGTCCCTCTTCTATATCTGTATCTGACAGATATGCGTATGACTGTGCTTGTTCATATGTGCAGTGTGCACATATCATACATGCATACACATATAGTGCATAGCCTCATATACATATTCTACACACGCGTGTACCTACCATACGTCACTCACATTTTACTATACACACATACATGTGTTGCATATGTACATGTATGTACATACACATGGATATATACTGGGTCTACATGGTCCTCAATTCAGGTGGCCTTAAAACTTCATGACACATAATTAATGTAATAGTGTAATGTTTTGATAATATATATATTTTTTTACTTTATAACAGGTGCTAGATGCTAGGGATCCACAAGGGACAAGATGCCGCCATTTAGAAAAGCATCTGAAGGAGCACTGCAAGCACAAATACATGGTTCTTTTAATGAATAAGGTTTCACATGATTAATATTTTGTAGTACAAATGTTTTGTTTAATATATTTGTTTCAGTTTTTCTCTTATAATGTTGATCGGTATATCTGATCCTGCATTTTTCTTTTTCAAGTGTGATTTGGTTCCTGCATGGTCTACAAAAGGATGGTTGCGTCTGCTATCTATGGAATATCCTACCCTAGCTTTTAATGCAAGCAACAATAGATCTTTTGGCAAGGTATGGTAAAGTTTCCATTTATATAATTGATCAATTATCAACTTCTTTCGCTCCTGAAAATTGACTTGTTTACATCAGGGATCACTTCTTGCAGTGCTGAGGCAGTTTTCTCGCTTAAAGAGTGACAAGCAAGCTGTATCTGTAGGATTTGTTGGGTATCCCAATGTCGGAAAGTCATCTGTCATAAATGCCCTACGCATGGAGAACGTAGGTTTTCCATCCATCACCATTTACATTTGTAATTAAGTTCTGCCGTTGTGGTTTGTCTTTCTGGCTTTACTTACCCATTAGAAGGGGAAATCAATGTTTGATTGTATGTTATACATCTCTTGCAATTTGCATATGTTGCTTGGGACATGTCATCGTTGTATAACTAAAAGAGTCTTGATCCTGTTTGTATATTCAGTTACTGAGATTGATCTTATGTCATATATAGCAAATGCCTTCTTGAGGTTCTGATTTCTATTAATCCCCTGCCTACCTCTTTCTCTCTCTTTATGCGTGGCAGCGTGTGCATGCGCGCGTTTTCCGCCTGCAATTTTGTGCGTATTCTGCTATTATAACTGTCATAATATGCTAGTGTGTGTTTGTATGTGTATATCCATACATTTTACTAAGTTTACCCAGAAATTAAAATTAGTATGTAGTCAATATGCACCATTTGCCTTTCTTTTTGGCCTCTTTGGATGCTTCAGAAAAGTCGAAAGAGTTTCACATCCTAAAATATCCTTATTATAGTGCCTTGTATCAGTGTAATCTGTGTGTAAGATGCTTATGCCTTATGTTGTTTTAGCCTTAGCCTTCTCAACAGCTTTTCTGCTGTTAAATTTCTATCATACAACCATATTTGGAAGATGTTGCTCTTGGCATAAATGCTTTAATGGTACTCTTCATCCCAACCACCACTTTCCCATCCAAAATGGGTCAGCTATGGAGCATAATGCTTTGTGGGATCATGGTATCAGGTCAATTTGATATCAGATTCTTATTGGTGTCAACACTACTGATCATAGGAACTATAGACTAGAGAGGGGCTGCCATAGGTTTTAAGACACTTTTTTGGCTGGAACCTTATTAGTCATGTAATTTCATTAAGCTTGTGCAACCAAGGTACAACTCTTTGTTATTCTTAGATAAGAGTCTACACAAAGGGAATAGATGTTAGGCTTTTTATATGGAAACTGAAACAATTCTTAAGCGAAAAAAGAAAAAGAAAAAAGGAATTCAAATAGAGAATGTTCCACAATATGCGTTACAATGTTACATTAAGGTGCTGGGCGCCTAGGAGGCTGCCGCCTAGGCATTTTTTGCACTAATCTTACATTATATTTGACTTTTGAAACTTGTAGGAATTAGCATGGACAAAGAAAATAGGGGATAGGTTACTGAAAAAACAAGAAAAAAAGAATTAAAAAAAACTGACCTATTAAGGATGATCATTAACCGACGAGCTGCCCATGGCGCTTTTTAAAACGATGATGTCTTGATGACTTAGGCCTATTAAGGATGAGGTTGAAAAATAATCGTAATCTACAATATCCTGGGGACATTTTTGTCGCTGAATTTTGTATACAATCTATTATAAGAAGATCATGACACATTGTTAAGGTAGATGATCATTAACGGATGAGCTGCTACTTCACTTCTTCTTTTCCATGTAATTATAACATATTGCAAGATTATCAGTGTTATAATTATGTATGTCCTGTCCATTGCCAGGTCTGCAAAGTGGCTCCTATTCCTGGGGAGACCAAGGTGTGGCAATACGTTACTCTTTCCAAACGGATTTTTCTGATAGACTGCCCCGGAGTTGTTTACCAAAATAAAGACTCGGAAACAGATATTGTCCTCAAGGGTGTGGTATGGATATTCTGGATTGCCACTTTTATCCACACTTCTATCTATTTATTGTCAATCATCTAAGCATTATTTTGTTTCGGACTTGCCGAACTTTTCTTCCATAATATTTGTTCTTTGCTTATTGTTCTGATCATCATTTCGGGTGTATAGTTAGAGTATAGATACTCTAACATGTGTATTTGTACTTTGATGCGTAACCACACGGCTCATAGTAAGATGTCACGTGCCTATAGTCCATTTGCTGGAAACAGTTGTGGAATGCTAGATTTGACGAAACCATTTAGAGTTATTGAAATCTTTGTTGAAGTAGTTAAAAAGAATTTGGAAAGTTTTGATTTTGGTGTTGCCTTTAATTCACCTGCTTGGGAAAGAAGGATCAACATACTTAACATCAGATTACTCTGAAGGGCTTCAAGCCATTATCATATGAGTCATCTCAACTACTGCAAATGTAGAGGTTCATTTCTTATGATGTTGATTTTAGTAAATAAATAAAAAAATCATTAGGTTGAAGTTTTAATGTAATTGAAAAAGAAAATTAGTATTTACTTGAATCCCACCATTATTAGAATTTCAGGAAAGGAATTGTGTTAAACTGGATTCAATTAAATGAAAACCAATACCAGTAAAGATTTAAAGCAAATTAGAATCCTCACGTCTTTCTTATCATTATACCATACTATTGTGCACCCCGTGCAAAGCACGGTCCCCAATTTTTTTAAGCACTACATTTTAAACTTGCCTCCCTCCAGGTTTTAATACATTTGATTTAATTATTGTATGCTTAAAATTAGAAATCATATCTACTCCGCTATACTTAAAGAACGATGCAAGTTTTAATATATTTGATTTATAAATCGTATCTACTACTCTATACTTAAAGAATGATCCAAGTTTTAAAACATTTGATTTGCTTTACTGTTTATGATACAGTAAATACTGCAGCATGAATAGTAACTTCAAGTATGGAGGAGCACATTTGATTTACTATTTATACTACAGTAAATTACTATAGCATGAACATTAACTTTGAGTGGATCAGACTTTGTTTACTGTTCATGCTACAGTTTGGATTCTCCTGTAAGTATAGAGGAGTAGATGTCCCTTATACTTACATTATTAGGTCTGTGAGTGGCTAAAGTTCATATACAAGGCTGAAGTTGGCCTTCAAATCAATGGATAGTGGGGTCGCCTTGTATGTGTATGGCAGTAAATTTTATATCATTTTAAGACAAACCATGAAGAATCTTATGATTCATGAATCCCATTCTGACACATGTATGTGATGTAGTATGAGAACCAGTCCTTGGTGGTAACTGTGATTACATTACTGACATTGAACACAAACAAGTATATACATCTATCAGTTGCCTTTGCATGCAGATCCAGAGTTCAAATGAAAGATGTTTGTTTAATTCAACATGTTTCCAAGATTGGTATTTAAAGATCTCAACAAAGATCAATATTTCTAATTTCCTTGTCCCTGTAGTGCTTATGTATCAACCTTCTAGTATTTGAAGTTATGCTGTGGCTATATGTTTAATGTTGGAAATATTCTACGTTCTAATTTTTGATGGATTCGTTTTTTCCAGGTGCGTGTTGAGAAATTGGAAGATGCTTCAGAACACATAGCGGAAGTCCTTAGGCGTGTAAAGCGGGAGCATTTGCTGAGAGCGTATAAGATAAATGATTGGTATGCTATCATCTGATTGAATCTATACATGCTCATCCCTACTAACCAGTTTCTTTATTTACACAATCATATAAGAGTTTGTATGCTTATTTCTATAATGTCATTCACTGCTGTTGTTATTCATGTCATTACTTATATTTCAAGCCAGTAATGAAGATTTGAAGCATGTATTTATTCTTGTTCTATGAATATCCCCGTGTGCACGCACATCTCATGACATGTATACGACACATGAAATTGAGATGTTACCTATCTGGAAGTTTAACATATAGAGTTGGTAGATCATAGATGATTGAACGTAATTTAATTGTCACACATTTTAGCTTATGTATTTGTGGAGCAGCCTATCAAATGTTTCCTAGTGGCATAGAAGAGTTCTGATGAACATGGAGCATGATAGAGCCTCCTGACAAGCTATTCATCCTGGTTCATGTTAATATGCCATTCTTAACATTCAGAACTTGTGAGTATTGTAAGCATGCTGCACAATAAGATCTGAGCTGTATTCTCTCACCTCTATACCTGCTTGATGTTAAAGCACGAGATACATACACTTTGCTGAAGGGTCTAGTTGATTATTTTACTGAAAGGAGCCCAATAATGGAGCTACTTAAGACGAGTGTTAGGCTCAGATCATAATTGCAGGAGCACCTTGGACTAGGGCTCTAGGAGTAGTATACATGGCTTGAGGCAATAAAAAAGGAAGTTGTTGCAAATTTGAATCGGAGGCATTTAACGGGGCTTTATGGAAAAAGGATTCATGTATTTGATCTCAGAACTCCATTTTGATGTGTTCATTTCTTTGTTCTAGTATCTTAAAGCAACTTCATGTGCTGCGTATCTCATAATTCAACTTTGTACAATATCAACTGATAATGCTATATGTCTACAATAACTTTTTCCTTTTTTCTGAAGCCTAATATACAACAATTAGTAACTTCGCAGCGATTCATTTTTACTGTTACCTCAGGGGGGATGGAGAAGACTTTCTTCTGCAGTTGTGCAGACAGACAGGGAAGCTATTAAAGGTAAAATCATATAACTGGGGTTCCTAGTAGACTGTATCATGTAGCAGACCTCAAATCCTGGATATTTTTTGGCTGTATTGTAGATTTAATTATTGTATGCTTAAAATTAGAAATCATATCTACTCCGCTATACTTAAAGAACGATGCAAGTTTTAATATATTTGATTTATAAATCGTATCTACTACTCTATACTTAAAGAATGATCCAAGTTTTAAAACATTTGATTTGCTTTACTGTTTATGATACAGTAAATACTGCAGCATGAATAGTAACTTCAAGTATGGAGGAGCACATTTGATTTACTATTTATACTACAGTAAATTACTATAGCATGAACATTAACTTTGAGTGGATCAGACTTTGTTTACTGTTCATGCTACAGTTTGGATTCTCCTGTAAGTATAGAGGAGTAGATGTCCCTTATACTTACATTATTAGGTCTGTGAGTGGCTAAAGTTCATATACAAGGCTGAAGTTGGCCTTCAAATCAATGGATAGTGGGGTCGCCTTGTATGTGTATGGCAGTAAATTTTATATCATTTTAAGACAAACCATGAAGAATCTTATGATTCATGAATCCCATTCTGACACATGTATGTGATGTAGTATGAGAACCAGTCCTTGGTGGTAACTGTGATTACATTACTGACATTGAACACAAACAAGTATATACATCTATCAGTTGCCTTTGCATGCAGATCCAGAGTTCAAATGAAAGATGTTTGTTTAATTCAACATGTTTCCAAGATTGGTATTTAAAGATCTCAACAAAGATCAATATTTCTAATTTCCTTGTCCCTGTAGTGCTTATGTATCAACCTTCTAGTATTTGAAGTTATGCTGTGGCTATATGTTTAATGTTGGAAATATTCTACGTTCTAATTTTTGATGGATTCGTTTTTTCCAGGTGCGTGTTGAGAAATTGGAAGATGCTTCAGAACACATAGCGGAAGTCCTTAGGCGTGTAAAGCGGGAGCATTTGCTGAGAGCGTATAAGATAAATGATTGGTATGCTATCATCTGATTGAATCTATACATGCTCATCCCTACTAACCAGTTTCTTTATTTACACAATCATATAAGAGTTTGTATGCTTATTTCTATAATGTCATTCACTGCTGTTGTTATTCATGTCATTACTTATATTTCAAGCCAGTAATGAAGATTTGAAGCATGTATTTATTCTTGTTCTATGAATATCCCCGTGTGCACGCACATCTCATGACATGTATACGACACATGAAATTGAGATGTTACCTATCTGGAAGTTTAACATATAGAGTTGGTAGATCATAGATGATTGAACGTAATTTAATTGTCACACATTTTAGCTTATGTATTTGTGGAGCAGCCTATCAAATGTTTCCTAGTGGCATAGAAGAGTTCTGATGAACATGGAGCATGATAGAGCCTCCTGACAAGCTATTCATCCTGGTTCATGTTAATATGCCATTCTTAACATTCAGAACTTGTGAGTATTGTAAGCATGCTGCACAATAAGATCTGAGCTGTATTCTCTCACCTCTATACCTGCTTGATGTTAAAGCACGAGATACATACACTTTGCTGAAGGGTCTAGTTGATTATTTTACTGAAAGGAGCCCAATAATGGAGCTACTTAAGACGAGTGTTAGGCTCAGATCATAATTGCAGGAGCACCTTGGACTAGGGCTCTAGGAGTAGTATACATGGCTTGAGGCAATAAAAAAGGAAGTTGTTGCAAATTTGAATCGGAGGCATTTAACGGGGCTTTATGGAAAAAGGATTCATGTATTTGATCTCAGAACTCCATTTTGATGTGTTCATTTCTTTGTTCTAGTATCTTAAAGCAACTTCATGTGCTGCGTATCTCATAATTCAACTTTGTACAATATCAACTGATAATGCTATATGTCTACAATAACTTTTTCCTTTTTTCTGAAGCCTAATATACAACAATTAGTAACTTCGCAGCGATTCATTTTTACTGTTACCTCAGGGGGGATGGAGAAGACTTTCTTCTGCAGTTGTGCAGACAGACAGGGAAGCTATTAAAGGTAAAATCATATAACTGGGGTTCCTAGTAGACTGTATCATGTAGCAGACCTCAAATCCTGGATATTTGTGTTGTTGCACCATTTGAAACCCATGTTTAAGATATCAGAACATGTAAGCCACTGCATCCTATAATTTTCCGCGTGACTTATAATCACTTCTACTAAAGACTTCCATTCGTCAAACTCGCTGTTTTATATTAGACTTTGCATTTGTGTATTTCATTCCCAGAGTGCTGTGATTCTATTTGAAAAAGATATTTTATTGTATTGACATGAATACAAGGCATGGATGCTGTTAGAGGGGTAAAAAAGTGCAAGTTTATATTCAGTGTTGTAGTCTTAGTGTGAATCTTGAAATACTTATTGGTACCACCATAAAGTTTTGCTAATCGGTAAGCAGTAGAAAATTATATATTTGTGAAGAACTAAAACCATAATATTTTGTTTCTCAGGGAGGTGAGCCTGATCTGATGACCGCTGCCAAGATGGTTCTTCATGATTGGCAACGAGGTAAGATACCCTTCTTTGTGCCGCCACCTAAGCAAGAAGATGACAGCGTACACAAGAAAACTGTATCTTCGGCCATGTGTGAGAAACCCATAATCAGCACGGATCCTGAAGCAGAAGCTATAAAGGCAATTGCCGGTATTATTTCATGTCAACAAGTAATGCATGTTCCTGCACGAGAGGACTTCTTTAGTGATGTTGGCGAGCCTGAAATTTTGGATGCTGAATGAATTGTTTCTTACCTTTGTGGTCTAGTTCCTGTAGAATGTACAAAGAAGAGTGATAGTTTGAGAAAATGGGTTTTCCTTTGATTGCTTTTCCCTAGAGTATTTATTGTTTTATTTCCTTTTTTTGATTTGTTGAGAACGTTGTGCTGTCTGGATGAGATTTCGTACATGAGTTTTGAAGACACCATTTTGAAAGGGGTACTGAGCATTGTCATCATTGTGTTGAGGTTGTAATTATCTTTCCCTTCTTAAATAAAAAAAAAATTTGGTGGAGAAATTTACTAACACTGATGTTTATATGAGTAACTGTGAGCGTATCTTATAAGTTCTATGTTGTTTGTGCTTGTTCAGGAACAACATTGTCACTTCTAAAGAGATGGAGGTAAATGATATCAAATCACTTCTACGCATACTTGGTTTTATTTGCTAAAAAATGTGTTTTTTCAACTATCTCAGGGAGAACATATTGGCACGTTAAGTTCTCGATCATTCACCATTGATATATACCAGACCTCAAGCTTTTGCAAGGAAATCCATTTTATAAATGCAGGAGGTCGGATATCATCTGTGCAGGTACTCCAGTAAGCTTCCAATTGTCAATGATTTATTTAATTAATTTGAATCATATATTTCAAAAATTGTGTAGGTCTTAATAATACTAAAGTTTAATTCAAGAAACTGAGTTCAAAACTTGTGTAAATCTTATTGGAGCTGCAGTGAGGAAAATTTGTTACGTATGTTGTTTTTCAAAGTTCGCATTGATATTATTAAAAAAAGGTAGAATCATGTAGTTTTATTCTTACTTGCATTTCATGTGAATTCTTTTTTATGTTGGCATCCTTTGAAACAGAAGATTGTTACATTTTTTTTCAAAGTTGGAAACTTTTATGAACAAAAAAGAAGGAGATTCATATATTTTTTATTCTTTCTTGCATTTCATGTGAATTTTTTTATGTTGGCATCCTTTGACACAGAAATATTACAGGAACTTTATCTGTTTTCAGCTATAACTTAAATTGAAACACACAGGCTTAAAAACATATGATACATGTGTAAGGAAGTACCTGGCAGTGTCACAGAGATTCTATCACTGATTCATGTGAACTAGTCTAAACCCTGCATTTATGAAGCATATTACTTCTAGAATTTCTTACATAAACTGACTTTTTTTTTCAGAATCCGGTTGACACGCGCAATACAAAATTTTAAAGTTCATAATTACATATTTGCTAATAAAAGATTATATTAATTAGGATTAACTGCTAATAAAATTTGTTAATAAAATATGTATATTTTCTAGCAAAATATTTGTTACATATGTATATTACTAATAAAATACGTTAATATTATATACTAATTAGGACAAATTGCTTATAGACATTCTGTACTATCTTGTTGCATCACTTATTTTGCCTTAAATTTGTTGTGCCACTTATTATCGCTTCAAATTTTATTATCATATTGTGTCGCTTATTATTCCTTAAATTTGATATTGGTTAATAGACCCCTAGGGAGTGAGTTGTACACCACCATTGCTCTCTGTGTCTCTATGGTGCATTGTTTCCGGCTAGGTTTTCAGCGGAAATGGAGGGATGGTGAGGAATGAAGGAATGTGAGTCATAGTTGCGCGGTTCCTGGGGAACACCCCCTCCCCTGATGAACTGTCGAATAGTTCCTGCGAATTGATTTCTTGTACATTTGCAAACCGATTCCCTTAGATACACGGATTGGCTTCTCAAAATTGGTGTACCACTTATAAGTATGTGGGGCACGAAATCCCTTTAAATGTACATGTGCAAGACACAAGGCCATGTGGGCAATCGAGTAAAGGGAGGCGCACAACAGAATATATGAGTCAATGATTTTACTATAACTTAATACCTATGTTAATAAAATAAGAAATGAAACCATGATCCCAACACGAATTATGTGAAAAGAAAAATAGAACAAAAAATGAACTCCACAGAAAAGAAACAGGTAGCTGCTTTGTATGAAACAAATATTGAAATGCATAATTAGTTTTCTAGTTTCTAATTTTCTACTATACACTTTGAAAAATTGTAAGCGCACCTAAATTTTTTTTTACAGTGTATCACTAATCGAACTTGCGTACCTAAGCAAGCTACCCCCATTGAATCCAATTTTTCTAAGTCACGAATTATGTACCCAAATTCGTACCACGATCTGCTATGTATCACGTATTGTGTAACTATGTCAATAGTATATTGGGTCTTTCGTCTATAAATCTCTAATGATGTCTAGTTTTAGGGGCCTATTTGCCAATATCAAACTTAAAGGATAAGAAATAATACAACACCATAATATAGACAGAGTGTGCAGAGTTTCTCCTTTTCCTTTTCTTCCTCCTTCTTCTTCTTTTTTCTTTTTTCTTTTCTTTTTTTGGTGAGGAAAAAGGATGACTTAAAATAGAAGCACCCAGCCTTGACTAGCATTACTGCAAATGGTTGTTACAAAATAGGATCATGTTCCCAACTCTAAATGCACGATTCAAAATCCAGTTTACGCTTACATTGATATCATAATAAACCCCCACTTAAGTACGTATAAGGCAAAGTTCTAAGAACTCCAGATTTAAGTTCCAAAAGCAAATATGTACAAATCAATCAAAACCAAGTTTGTGTTAATGCTAAGGGTGGTGACTGGGCTGGGTTAGCTTACAATCCTCAAACTCAAACCAGACCCACAAACCTGACCCAGCTCGAACCGGACCTAGGCCCGAACTAAGGCCGCACCTAAACCCTACATTGACATCGGTTATTAGTAATCATATTAGCTATTATTAACTAATTAACTATCAATAGCTATTTAGTAATCTTAAAAATTAATAATATAGTTAAATGTGCACGTTTTTCAAGCAAAAATTAGCAGGTTGAGTCTCAAAACTTCCCTCAAGTAACAATAAAGTCCCAGTCGGTGAGTCAAATTTCATGTAAATCAAGCAAAACAGCCAAAAGAATAAAAAATAAAAAGAAAGAAAATTAAAAAGAAAAATAGTGGGGCGTGTTGACCAACAACTCAGGCCGACTCGGATGGGCTAGGTCAGTGGATCATGTTGGGTTGCACTCCCAGCTCGGATAGCCGGACTTTGGCCTGACCCAATGTCAAGGCTAGCTGGGATTGACCTAGCCCGAATCAGCCCGAAACCGATGGGCTTGGGCCCAACTTGGCCCAGACCGTCCTAATCTCCAACCCTAGTTAACGCTACTAATTATATGCTGGACGAATCTTAAATTCATTGAATTTTATAATCCCTTGATCTTCTTGGTTTATGTATTATTTTCTTATTTCATACTGAAGGGCTCATTTCTCAAATTATAACTATCCTTTTGTATCTTAGAATCATATGATTCGTTCCAAGAATAACTGCTATCACACCCCTCACAAATTCAACCGGATTCTCACTTTTCATATAAAAAAGTATCATAGTTACCAGAAGATGAATGCTACCTACCAACAGAGATGAGTAAAATGAGTATACAGCCTTGAAATAGTGTCACCTGCAAGAGGCAAGTCAATAATGAGATTTGTGCATTCGTAAAATTTCCAACTCAAGGGCTTCAAGGAGTTCACATTTCACATGGCCTGTATATATGTTAAATGGGCAACATTGTTGAAAGGTCAATTGATGTGAGGAGTCGCAAATTTTTTTTTTTTTTTGCTGTCCGGGTGATGATGATGATGATGATGATGATGATGATGACTGTGATGTATAACAACTAGCCAACTCCTTCGCTTTAAGCCCCTGTAGAGGGTCCTCCATGTTGGTCTTGAATCAATCTTAGTACACGTACACATCAGCTACCAGTGAAGTTTGATTGTCTATCGGTACAAAGTGCGCTAAGATTAGTATGTGCATCAAGATTCGTACTAATTAGACAGATGTTTTCTTCGTCTCCTATATTCCTCTCTGATTTTCTATGAATAACCTTCCATATATAGGATTTCCTTTTCATGCTTCTATGGAAAATCATATATAAGGGAGAGAGAGCGGATAAAGACAAATATTGGTCTAGTTCCACCTTGATGCACACATCATTAGCAACTCCCAGTGAAGTCACATCGCCTACTGGCGTAGAACGAATTGTTAACAAATTGCGGTAGTAGACAAATTGACGATGCTAGATCCCCCGTCTCCCTATATGATTTTCTATAGAGAACCTCCTATAGGATATTTGTTCTCATGCTTTTTAAGCTTGTAGGTCTTGGGGTATTAATTAGGAGATGGCCATTACTAGTGCTGAGGAACGTGGGATGTTGGAACTGAGTTTGACACAAGTTTTAGATTTAGATTTCAATCAGAGTCAAATTATCATAAAAGAACAACACTTATCAATCAGACTAGGTATATATAATTCATGATCCACCAAATCGACACTATTTTTATTTTATTAAAATATAGATGGCCCTTATCATTAAATCTCAAAACCATAGGGTTACGATCCATTATACGGTCAAAACAAAATTTATATAGATGGTCATTTCGATTTGCAATGAGTGCAATGAAGGGGTCTAAAATGTTTGTATTGAACAAATGGTGGTGCACGGAAATCATCTGCAAACAAATGTAATTTATTTGAAGTTTTTTTTTGCAAATGAGAAACATTTTTATGATGTGCAATATGTGCATATGCATGTGTATGAGATGAAGTAGCTTGATGGGATGCACAATGATCAATATTTTTAGGCATAGTAGATTTTTGTGCATCATAACAAAATTTAGCAATGTGGCCTTTTCAGCCGCAAATGATACACTTGTAAACTTTGTTATACATGTGTGCATAGTGAATAGGTTTCTTGAAAATATTTTTATGGGACTTTGCACACAAGTCCATAAGCTTGTTGTTATTAACAATACAAGTTTTTAATGTTGAATCTAATGTGGATATTCTATTTTTAACATGATTCAACTCATTATTTTCCACATAAGCATTGTTAATAGAAGTAGAACATGCATGATCATTTTTGAAAGAATTAAGTTCTTTTCTAATAATCTCAACTTCTACTATGGTATCACAATTATCATGAAACAAACTAGCATTTTCCAATTTTAATTTTTTATTGCT